ACATGAAGGGACAGTATGCCTGCCACAACACTAATTCACATGTGGCCTATTCACTTGATCCATAAAACTAATCAAACTTATTCATACCACTGTAACTGAAGTGCTGTGCTCTCCACGTTGGTCATATTACAGGATATTGACAATGGGAAGCCAATATACAGCATCTTGATAGCATCTCCACCAGTTGTGTCAACTACATGGGGGAAGATTAGAAATGTTTTATATGATTATCAATTTTGGACAATATCTACAAACAAAAAATATTAACTATTGAAATCACAGTAAAAATCTGAAATCCATTAATGCAATTACATCTTCATTTTTCTTTTTTTTGTGCTAATATCATACATGTCTAGTCTAACACCTCCAAGTTTCTAGTTACAAAAGCAAGAAAAATAAAGATCCTACTGTCAGATTCCTTGTCTTTCAAAATGATTTCTGAATTTTCCAAACACTTCATCATACCACAAATACAATTTTTCATGCAACTAGAGGTTAACTGAGTGGAAAGAAAAACTTTATGAAACACGCTTAAACACTGATTTTGTGAAGTATTTCAGCAGTACTACTGCAATGCAATATTCATCAGCATGAAGTGTAATAATGTGAATGCAATCCCATTGCAATGTAATGAAATTACAGAAATTACAGTTTTAAAGTAAATGATGGAGACATCATAAAATCTAAATACAAAAGCACCCTACTACTTGACTCTTTATTTTTCAAACTACCCACTTTACATTCATGATAAGAACGGAATGACAAAACACTACTATAAACCTATCTTATGTATAAAGGGTTTTCCTGCCATGAGTAGAGGTCTTTCACAAGAATAATATGTTATGAAAAGAAAGTGAACGATCATAAATAAAGGTAACTAATTTCCAGACTAACCACAGAGGATATTACTTTCTCCAAATGTCTGGGCCACTGAGTACCATGAGGACCACTCAGTGAGTTTGAAAAAGTGAAGTATCCTATTACATAATTAAAAAGTGGGGGGGAAAATGCCATATCAAAAAGATAATAAGCAAAAAATCCAAAGTGAAGTAAAGAAATCAGATTTGTAAAAAAAAACAGATATCTTATAATTCTGAAAAGAATATATATGTACACAAAAAATGTAACCATATACAAATTACAAGTTCATCCATACATTAGACTTTAGCAATCTAGCATGGATGATGATGATGACGATGATGAATAATATATAACATAATAACTATAAATGACATTTCTATGACTATAAATATCTTGCTTCTGTTTCTGTTTTTCAATATTCTGTATTTGGAATATGAAGCTGATTCTGGAAAGATGAGTCTAGTTACCTTGGGGTTAAAAAATCTTTATAATAGAGTAAGTATGTATCGATTCAGAGTGATATACTGTGATTTCCTGATACATTAGCACCAGCTGTTACCACACATTGTTGCTCTGAATAGCTATCAAACTTTTCTGTAAACTGCTTATGCAGTATGTGTTTCCTGACTATATCCTGGAGTTGTTCATAAAACTGAAACAACAATTATAATTCTCTCCAACTCAATGTCCTGTTTTTATATGTTATGCTTTACCTAGCTGATGTGATGGCCTAAGGAGTCAAATCCCTTCATGGGTCAAATAGTATTTGTATAACCAATAATCAAACTGAATCTTAATATGCTGAAAATAATGCAAAATAGGTGTAACACCATAACTGTATGAATTACAGTGGAAGACTTTTGTCACCCACTCTCGTTAAAGTATTTTCTTTCATCCTTTTTTCACAATATATATACATCATATACACATCATTTCACATAATACTGCTACTTCACTCATATCAACACATAAAACCATCATAATTGTGCAAGGCCTGCATCCACTCCAGCTGCAATGAAAACACTCATTGCGTAATGCCCAAATATATGCATATCATTATTTATCAATAAATAAGCCAAGCTTCTCTGTCAGGTTCCCTGACATTCTTCTATCCACCTAGTCTAAATGTCTTCTGTTACTTGTTATCTTAGACCTTCCTCCTTCTGTCTTAGATTTGTTTATAAGTCATTGCTAATATGCAATGCATAAGACATAAAATTCAGACCCCCTTTGAACAGACTACCTTAGAGTAAATACCTGAATACTTCCTAGCCAGCCTCCCATACATTGACTCTTATACTTCTCTCACAAAATAAAATCAATCTAGAAAGTTGTCTCCTGCACCTTACAATCTTGCTAGACCTCAATACTTCCACTGGACTCTGCCCCAATCTAGGAAATTCATTCAACATATCTGCTAAGTCTACAATGGCTAATCCTGTAAACTTTTTTCTATCTCTGAAACCTTTCATTGTTGGTGAATTTGACTATGGTGTTGCAAAAACTAACAAAACTCTGCTTCTAGCAGAGTTTTGTTTGAGGATATTTTGAGCCAAGACAATTTGAATTAAATTTGTTTCCTAGTTAAATTTCCATGTCACTATTTGTTTGCCTTTATCTGTATACATATATTTTCTTCATAACACAGATTACAGTGGCATGTTTTATGCTAATAAAACACACTGTTATGGGTGACAGAAATTAAAACAATGCATAAACTATCAACCATGCACTGTCTGGCCTGCCCAGGCAGTCTGGGAGCTGTGAGTATGAAAACAGAATCTTACTGTGTTTGTGAAATTGATGCTTGCAATATTAAGTCTATCTCAGCTCCATCATAAAGGTATGATGCACACCTACATTACTAAGTACAGAAAGAAATGCAATTTACACAATAAAACATTACCACAATTATAACTAAAACAGACAAATCAAATAAATAAGGATAAAGTAGGAAGTAAAGTTTTCAAAATATGCAGGCTGAGAACTATGGTTCTCAGACAGGTACTGACTCAGTACAGTATAAAAACATTCCAATCAACCAAAGCTTTTCACTGGTGTCTTCTGCTATTCCTCTTTACCATAAGGACTGATCAAAGAAGACCTGAGATGCTGTACTAATAATATTAGCATACCTTTTATCAAAATACACTAAACGCTTTTAAAATCTTGCAAATGCTGTTCTGGAGAATATGTCCTGGAAAGATATACAGATATAAAGAAATAAAACCTACAATCATATTCTAAAGCTGGGGGAATCATAATGAGATTCACTTATCCAGCTTACGTATTCAAAGTCATCAGAGTTAGAAAGGGTTCCATGCACATCACACCAAACACAACTTACCCACACTCTATGGGCCAGCATATAAGTTTTGGCACATAGCAGGCAGGACTCCTTACCCTAAGCCAACCCTCACCCTCTTCTTGTTTTTACTTAATTGAATCATGTATGTTATTGATGATAATTCTGAATGATTGAAGGGGGGAAAATCTAATGTAATCGGTAGCATACCATGAATATTTCTAAAAAGTATTTCTCACATATATGATCTGATTTTTTAAAAGACCTAATCCAAGAATTCTTAACCATGATAAAATAAGAGATAACATACATCTTTACCTGTCTTTTCTTTTATAGTATATCACAGATAAAAAAAATTGTGAATTAAAATAATTTCTGAGTTAATTAATGCTGCATATCAGAATCCAAACTGACTTAAAACTGGCATAACTTTAGATAAGTAGTTCTTTACCAGGGGGGGGGCACCCCCTAGGGGAGCATCAGTAATTTACAAGGGAAAAGGGAAAAAGCAGAAATTACTCAAATTACATTTGTTATTCTCTTAACAAGAGCATAGTCAAATTATGAGAAATTCAAAAATAATGTCGCTAATTCATACTCAATAAAAAGACAGACTATATTTACATTCTCTTTAAAATTTGGAAAGGAATTTTATTCATAGATGTAAGGGGGCCTGGAGAGAAGTACAGTGTCCTAGAGGAGGCTTGATAGTAAAAAGGTTAAGAACCACTGCTTTTGATGTTCAAAAGTTGCGTTGTTATTCTTGTTTCTTTGTTAAATTTATTAAAAAAAAAAAAAGTAAATGAAAGGTACTTGAACCAAGATTCACATGGTTAAAATGGCTGAAGTATATCTTTTTCAAAAGAAGACTTTTAGATGTTTAAACATTGTATTTAGGGACATTCACAAATTGAGCAGTCACTTTAGTTACATTTTTTAGACTAACTTGTTGCAAACATATTATTTAAACTAATATCAACACAAGACATTATCACACACGAACTAAGTCCTTTAGCTGACGTGAATGTAGTTTCTCTTCATACCAAAAAGAAGAGCGTGTTGGTAAGAATTAATTCATCAATAAAAACTGTTCATGTCACAATTTTCTAATTCATGTTAAGAGCAACCATTTACACATGATCATATTCATGTATCATATGCAATTTGTTTAAGTAACAAATAAAGAGAGAGAAAAAAGGAGAAAGATACAGAGAAAAACCTGTGTGGTTACTTGAGCTGACCAGAACAAATGTCTGATTAATGATAATTGACAATGATCAAACATCTGATAAGGAACTGTTTTCTTTGCTTTAATTATCAGATGCAATAACATCTAAACCTCAATATTTCTATATGTGTCTAAACAGTGAATATTACCCTCTGCATTAAGAGTTTTGGAGGATTTCCTGCCCTAATCCATAATAACTATTTTGGTATACATAATTGAATTATCTGGTATCATTCTTTTCTTTAGTTGCCATTACAGATACTCAGTACACAATTACAAATTAGAGAGGTTGAAACTTTATGCTCTCAAGACCAGCTCTTGTTCTAAAAAGGCCTCTATATACTCCAAATGTTCAATAATCTTATGTGTAGCTACAGAATTTACAATTCTATACTAACAATTTGCACATCAACAGAACATGAATACATTGTAAACTTCTCTTTGTTATATACCAAAACCAAATATTTCAGCATTTCTAGAAGCATCCAAAAACTACCAAAACAACCATACATTGACAATTCATCAGGCAGTTTGTATTTGGATAGAAAGTAGCCATATTAACTTTCTTATGTGACTTTCCAAAATCTTGAAAGCCTTTAAAGAAGAATCAGAGAGCTTAAAACTCCCAACATTATGAAACATTATGACATAAACTGTTAGCCAAAAAGTTATCACTATCATAATACTATCATAAAATATTTCACACCAAAACCACAAAGTCCAAACTTTCAATTTGAGAGCAAAGGAGTGTGTTATAAGGCTTGTTGAGGAGTAAAGGCGAGGATAATGAAATGTGATGCAGAAAAAAAAAATGAGGAAAACTGGAAAGCTCATTATTAATAGCAAAGGCATTGGCATAAATTACCTAAATACATGTTAGAGAGAGAAGGAAAAATATAATGTCAATATCTCATCAAAACCTCCAGAGGGTAAGAGACTAGAATTACAAAAAAAAAAGAACAGGCATCCATCTGCTTGATCTGACAAGTCTCTTAATTCCTTCTGTGAAAGGCATGGATCAGAAGTTATTAAAGTACATTTTTCAAACATCAATAGACTTTAGTAGTCTTGGCTCGTCATGGGTAGATAATCCAAAGGCTGACATCCTGGTTCAATTATTTCTTATGGCAAGTGCATTGACATCCTGGTCAAATTATTTTTTCCTTTAATCATGTGTATCTTGCAGATTGAACATATTTTTGTTCATTTAAGGCAGTTTTAAAGTTTTCTTTAGTAACAATAGGTTTTAATGATCTTGTAAATTAACTACAGTTAATTTACCATTTCAAGAGAAAATGCAATTGTCTACTTCTTTTGTAGTTTATAATTCTATTTTGGCAACAAAAGTTGAACCATAAATAATTTATAACAAACGAATGCAATGATAGTTGATTGTGATATTTTCAAGAAGGAATAAGTTAAAAGATTTCCCATGTGTAAAATCATGTTGAGGTAGTCTGTATTATAATGACAACAAAGAAACAGCAAGAATAGGCTAATAACCAACCATTGAAGAAACAAAACCAATAAAAATGTAACTTCGTGTTCTGCTCAATCAATAAAAAATGTCTACTGTAACAAACCTATTACTCTATCAATAAATCAAAGCTCAGAGTAATGTTTTGCATAATCTAGCTCTTACATATCATTAAAAGTCAATCTACTTACATTGTAAGGATTACAATAGGGTGAAAAAATATAAATAATAAAAAAAAAGATATTCTTCAGGATACAGGGAGTTCAACAGGTACTGCAAGAGCAAGGATGGTTAATATAACCTTTACAGAGGGTGACAGCCTATGGGAATTACCAGGAACCCCATTCCGCAGCCTTACCACTCAGAACATAAACCGTGTGAGAACGCGGGCTGAAGGATGTGCACTTGTATTCCCCAGCGTGGTACATAAGAGCATTTTTCACTGACAAACGGCTTCCTACGTACCCCTGGGGGGCGGCGACATCCTCCATCGTATACCTGCCATTGTGAGCAGTCATAATGAAAGTAACAAAGTAGATTAAAAACACATAAAAGTCCTTTCCACCTAAGAGCAAACAGGTAATTCCAAAAAAACAATCTTTGTTACATAAGACTATAGGTGCTTATGAGTCATCCATTGAACTAAGCTACTTTAATGATGTTAACATGTTTTCTAAGAGTGGCATTAACTACATCCGAGTTCTACTAACAGCTTCACTCACCAGACAAGTGAAAATCAAAATTATCACCATGGTGTATATTTACTTGATGTAGCTAATTCTACAAAAGAAAATCATATCTACCTCTCAAGACACTGAGAAATAGAGATAATCTCATAAAAAGGAAAGGCAATAAACATACATATCAAGAACACATGCACAAACACAGTAACGTGTACACAAAAATGAAAATGAAAATAGCCACACCGAGAAAAGAAAATAATTGTGACGTTTCAAACTCTTCACAAGGGCCTCTTTAGACAAAACTATTTCGATTATGTCTGAAGAGGCACTTGTGAAGAATTCGAAACGTTACGATTATTTTCAATTCTCATTGTGGCTATTTTCATTTTCATACATATCAAGGTTTATCCTAATTTAAATTGCAGGTAAATATGCAGAAATTAATTACAACTAGCAACTATGTACATGACATGACTGACATCAAGAACACCAACAAATACAATTAGTAATTAGAAATCATATTAAAGAAATCAAGAATAAGGAAAAAAAATCTAAAGTTTGTTCTACAAAGAGCTGTCTACAAAACACTTCTACAGGCCTTACTAGCAAGAATATCTGTACATGAATGAAATGGGTGTAGAAAAAGTACCCTGTACCAAAGGGGACTTTCGGACTGGATAAAATGAATCACGAAAACAATGTCTCTACGGCTATATGTACCGATACATTAGATTTCACTCTCGATCTGTATCATTACAACATTACTGTCACCGTTATCATTTTAGTTAGCCTAGTTGCAGCAAATTTCTAGAGTACTGAGCCACTATCTTTCTAGCAGCCAATGGAACAAGTGTCAGCATAGACGTTGGCCCTTACCCCCCCTCCCCTGATACCACAGGCTTGCCATTGTGGGTCCACTTGAGCTGGCTGAAGAGGGTGAGGTTGCAGAACACTGAAAACTGCTGTCCGCCTTTTACAAAGTGCTGCCCTCTGTATGTAACATAGGGCAACCACGACTCACCTTCCAGCTGGGCATCAGTTCCATGCGCACTGCCAGCACCTGTTCAAAAGGGAGGCAGAGAAAGCTGTGAGTGAGCATGGCTGTGGAGTGTACTTGAACTTGGGAGGAAAAGATGAAATGGAAGGAAAAGAGAGAAAGAGAAAGAGAGAGTGAGAGAATGAAGAGAGAAAGGAAGAAAAAGATAAACTGAAAGTGAGAGAGAGAGAAAAGAGAGAGAGAAAAGAGAGAGAGAGAAAGTGAAAGAGAGAGTGAGAGAATGTAGAGAGAAAGGAAGAAAAGGATAAACTGAAAGTGAGAGAAAGAGAACAAGAGGAAATGAGAACGAGGAAAAGTGAAAAAGAATGAGAAGAGAGAGAAGAGAGAGAGAGAAAGTGAAAGAGAGAGTGAGAGAATGTAGAGAGAAAGGAAGAAAAAGATAAACTGAAAGTGAGAGAAAGAGAACAAGAGGAAATGAGAACGAGGGAAAGGGAAAAAGAATGAGAAGAGAGAGAAGAGAGAGAAGAGAGAGAGAGAGAGAGAGAAAAACAGACAATATGTGCAAACTTGCTTATGTGCATGTGCATAAGTGCTCAGTCATGTTTTAGCACTAACGCAGTTTATAATAAGCCTTTAATGAAAAAATATCAACTTTACTTTAAAATAAACTTCAATAGGAAAAGCTGCACTTCTTTGATTATCATTTTTATTCTGTTGTGCTTAACTGATGTTTGAACAATAAACTGAACAAAGCAATATTCTTAAAAGAAATCATTATACTTTGGGCAAATAATCAATCAACTTTTAAAACTCAGTGATAAAAGCTACTTAATAACAAGCTTGACAAATTTTACAATAACTCATTCTCAACCAAGATGCTGGGAAGTCGACTGTCTTGTGAGATTTTAGAAATACATTTAGAAATAAGTTTTGTTTTTAATGATATTGCTAATTTTTGAATCACCCTCACCTATTCATTCATGTGCATAATTCAAAAATTATTCAATAAAATGAATAATAGGAATAACAACAATAACGATTAAAACTTTGAGTGCAGTCAAACAAAAATATAACACCATTCACCTAATTCTGTGATAGCAGGTATCCCTAAATTATTATTATTATAATTTTTTTATTTATTAAAACAAAGTAGAAGAAAACTGCTTTTTTAAATGCCCCTTCTCCCATTTCTTATGAAAGGAAGGTGACAAATGCATAAGAATATATCAATCCCAAGAAAATTCACTTATCTTTCCTCTCTTAATGGCCGACCACTAAAATAAAAAAGCAGCATGACCATATGAACGTCTCTGGCTGTAAAAGGGTCAATCCTAGGTTATCAACATACCACAGATATATCATCCACGTATTCCTTCTTGTTTCATGAACTGTGGCACAAACTTTATTGACCTGTTACCTACAGTACTGCATTGTCAAATATAGTATTAAAATGTAAAGGCTTTACGTCTCAGAAAAAAATGAATAAATAAATATGAGTATACACATGTAAAACAAAACATTTATATATATGAATTTGTTTTCAGTTTATGCTTTATTCAGTAAGTGCACATACAATCAAGCACCAAATGACTTATGTAGTAATTTACTATTTCACAAAATTGAAGTTACTTTTAAGGGAAATTCAAATCACATAAAAATCTAAATATCAATAAATTGGAAAGGAAAGAAAAGAAAAAGAAAAGAAAGACAATATACATATATATCTCAAACAGTAAAATCTCTCAAATCTATAAAGATATTTCTGAAATTCTAATCCTTATACCTTAATAAAGAACATATTCCTATACTTAGGCATGCTCAGATTAGGACGCATGGCAAAATGTAAACGTTCCCACAGGATGCTGGAAAATAATGGTGATCTCACTCAGACTTTTTAATCTGTAGATTCCAAAAGTACAATGTGTGTGTGTGTGTGTGTGTGTGTGTGTGTGAGTGAGTGAGTGTGTGTGTGTACGTAGGTGTGTGTGTGTGTTTTTGTGTGTGTGTGAGTGTGTGAGTGTGTGAGTGTGTGTGTGTACGTAGGTGTGTGTGTGTGTTCGTATAACTTCGTATAATGTATGCTATACGAAGTTATTACGTGTGAGAGTGTGCGTGTGTGTGTGTGTACGTAGGTGTGTGTGTGTGTTTTTGTGTGTGTGTGAGTGAGTGAGTGTGTGTGTGTGTGTGAGTGTGTGAGTGTGTGAGTGTGTGAGTGTGTGTGTGTGTGAACGTGTGTGTGTGCACATGTGTGTGTGAACGTGTGTGTGTGAACATGTGTGTGTGAACATGTGTGTGTGAACATGTGTGTATGAACATGTGCGTGTGTGAGCGTGTGCATATGTGTGTGTGCGTGTGTGTGAGAGTGTGCGTGTGTGTGAGCGTGTGCGTGTATGTGAGCATGTGCATGTGTGAGCGTGTGTGTGTGCATATGTGTATGTGTGTGTGTGTT